AAATCTACCGAACTGGTTAGAAGAGATTCCACCAATGGACCCAGAAAGCAGGCCACACCTACAGAAGAGGTTCCAAAATTTTTTGAAACCCATCACTGATCGGCACCTTTACTATACCACACTGCCATGTGTGTGTGTGTGTGTGTGTGTGTGTGTGTGCGCGCGCGCGCGTGTGTGTGTGCACGTGTGTATGTGTAGTTAATAGTAGAAAGAGATTGGATTAGACTAGTGGCCCCCAACCTTTTGGGCGTCAGGGACTGGTTCTATGGAGAGAGGTTTTTCCGTGGCTCGGAGGGGACATGATTTTGCATACTGCCAGCATCCCGCAGATGGGGTTTTACTTTCTTGTGTGGCCCAGTTGCTAGAATGCCATGGCCTGGTGCCGGTCCACAGACCGGAGGTTGGGGACACCTGGATTAGATAATCTCCAAGATCCATTTCAACTGTTATATACTGAAATATCTTGGACTGTTGATTTACTGCACAGCTTTATATAACAGGATTCTAATGAGGATAAAAATGAGGGAGAGAAAATCCATGTCTGTTGCTCCAAAGCGTTAGGTAAATTAATGAATGTAGTCAGATCTTTGACAGTTTTTTCCCCTTATTTGTTTTTCCTGAGAAGAAAATAGCAGTGATATATTTTGATTAAGCAAATGATCTGAAGACCTTGAATACAGTTTAATTCAGCACAATGGCGTTAATGAAAACTGACTAACGGTAAGGAACACCATATAAATATGTGTCCAAAGTATCACTGAGACTGGGCAATCAGCAGAAAATGAGGAAGAATGAAAAGCAAGGGTGAGTAAAACTGGAGGGGATTAAAAAAAATTAGATTTCAAGACGAGCCAAAATAATCAGAAAAAAAATAAAGTCTAATCACTCAGGAGGAGGACAGGATTGAAACAAAAAATTAACATATACTTGAATGATTGGCCTATCTATGAACAGGATTTTATGCTGGGTAATTATATGAATATCTCTGAATGTCAATATGGTGTCTTTAAAAAAAAAGCTTGCATGCTTCTATTAAAACCAACATTTACTGTATTATTTTTTCAACTGAAAATCATGTTCTATTAGACTTGTAATTCTTCTGTGGCTTATCTTGCTATCTGTAAATAGCAATAGCACTTAGACTTATGTACAGCTTCATAGTGCTTTTACAGCCCTCTAAGCAGATTACAGAATCAATCTATTGCCCCCAACAATCTGGGTCCTCATTTTACCCATCTCGAAAGGATGGAAGGTGGAGTCAACTTTGAGCTGATCAGATTTGAACTCCTGGCAGTGGGAATACAAAGTTAGCCAGCAATACTGTATTCTAACCACTGGGCCAGCGTGGCTCATGGTGGCAATAAAGCCAGGATAGCAAAAGAATATAGAGTGGGATACTTGTTGGCAAAATGAGAGGACAATATCCTTCCTTGTAGCCACTTCTAAACCTATAAAATCTACTGCAGAGGACTGGAATAATCTTCGTGGAGAATTTTTTGAAAGTACAGGTTGTTCTTGACTTACTCATTGATATAGCGACTGTTCAAAGTTACAACGACATTGAAAAGAGTAACTTTTTTCATTTGTCACATGATGATTGCAGCATCCCCATGGGCATATGACCAAAATTCAGATGCTTGGCAACTGGTTCATATTTATGACAGTTGCAGTGTCTTGGGGTCATGTGATCAACTTGTTCAATCTTCTGACAAGCAAAGCCAATGGGGAAGCCAGATTCGTTTAACAACCAGTGTTCCTAACAACTGCAGTGATTCACTTTAACGACTGTGGCAAGAAAGGTTATGAAATGAGGCAAAATTCACTTAACAGCTGTCTTGCTTAGCGATAGAAATTTTGGGCTCAATTGTGACCATAAATTGATTACTCCCTGTAATTGGACATAATTGGGAAAGGAGTAAGGAAGCCCTCTTGTGCAAGCAAAAAAGCCACATTTTATCACTGAGATTGGTTTATAACAACATATCAGCGAGGGCAACCATTATGAGTACCACTGAACAGATTGTTGCACTGAACTATACAATTTGATCACTTGTACTCGCTGATCTAAGGATGATTGAATCCCAACTGATGACAACATCCTTGTAATAACATGATCTCAGATTGATTGCTATCTAGAAAAATGAGGGAGAAGCAACCACACAAACCCATTGAATCATGATTCAATGA